TGTTTAACATTTAGCAGGAGCCCTCCATTAAAACCAATCGCACAGACGAAGAAAAACATATATATATATATTCACAGTTTCCAGAGACGGAGAATTTATTTTCAGCTAAACTAAATAACAGACGGCAGGAGGAACACAGGCGGTTAATTGAGAGAGAGAAGCTGAAATTAATGATGCTTTGCTGAAAATGCGCAGATGGGTTTTTTTTCTTTTCATTTTTTAATAAATCAGCAGCAGAATTGGGAAGATGCAGTTCCTGTTCTCCAGGATATTTTCAAAATGTGTTGAATTTACTGGAAAATAGAGGAAATTTTAGGTGAATTTTATTCCAGGGTTGCAGTTTTTCAGTCGCAGCGCAGAAAAGTTGATTTATTCTCATTAATGTGCTTTTTATATTACCTTTACAGTGACTGATATATTCCCTATAACACCCCCACACAGTCAGCCAGGACACAAAGAGCACATTATTAGACATTATACATCAGTGGGCTCCTGTAATTATATGATTGTGTCTAAATTAGAGTTGCGTTTGTTTCAATGTGTGAATTTCTTCAGACTTTGACAGAAAGACAACTTTGTCTAATTGGCTGATGTGTGTTTTATTCCAGGAATGGATCCCTCCAACGCGTGTTTCAGGATGCCACAAGACAATAAAGGGAAATTTCAAATTGTAATAATTTAGATTTTATATTTTTTTCAAACTCGCTACTTTAAATTAGATTGAAAAGAGACTACAAATCACATCAGATACAAACCCTGTGAAGCTTTTCCGTTTTGAGTTTTGATGATTACCTCTAAATATTATAATATAGCTATTATTATTGTGTCTATACACTTTCAAAATAAAGTTCTAATTAAATCAGAAGCTAATAAGCAAATTTTTGGATTCAAGCATCATTAGTTTATATTTTAATTGAATTCCTTTGTGTCAAACACAATGTAAAATAAAAAAAACCCATTTTTGTTTGTTTGTTTATGTTATTTGTTGAAACTTCATGTTTTTGTACTTCCATCTGAGTCTCTACTGTTTCTAAAAACAGTTGATGTGGTTAAAAATTTTTTTACAGCAATAAGTTAATGTTTTTTTTTGTGTGTGTGTGTGTCTGAAAACAAGTCGTTTCAAAAACCTCCTGAATGAGTACTGTCCTGTTACCTAGCAACCCTATCTGAACCCAGCCCGTTACCTAGCAACCCTATCTGAGCCCAGCCCGTTACTTAGCAACCTCAGTTGAGCCCAGCCCATTACCTAGCAACCCTATCTGAGCCCAGCCCGATACATAGCGACCCCAGCTGAGCCCAGCCCGTTACCTAGCAACCCCATCTGATCCCAGCCCGTTACATAGCAACCCCAGCTGAGGGGTTACATAGCAACATAGCTGGGGTTGTTGCTGGGCTCAGCAACCTCAGTTGAGCCCAGCCCGTTACCTAGCAACCCAAACGGAGGTCAAGCTCCAGCGCAGTTGCACAATTGTGTATTTGTTTGCAGCTATTTTCGTGTATGAAGTGAAAACGTTGAGTTGAGGGGCGTGGCCAACATCAGCTTATTTGCATAAAAGTGACAAGACGCCCTAAAACAGTTCAATCTGAGAGGAGCTAAAAATAAGAAGAACTGAGGAAGTGAAATCTCATGTTCTGAGATTTAGTGAAAAAATTTAATGAGCATGTTTTTTATTTTCATTATCCTAACTAGGTCACCTTTAACCACCAAATGGCATGGTGAATTAGAGGCTATGATCACTCAGCAGGTCTTGATGCTCAATTCCTATTTTTCGGTGAAATCAGATTTTTTATTTTTATTTTTTGTGGTTGTTCATTCTACTTACAACTTAATACATCTACAATAGATGCATCAGAACAGACCAAAAATAGATTTTTTACTTTACATTTTCATCTCCAGTGAAGATGTAACCTAAAAAATATTGCAGGACAGTCTCTGGACAGAAGAACGTTGTACAAATCAGAGACTACACCCTTTCAACCAAAGTGGCTTGTGACTTTTGGGGGTTGCATTTATTTGAGCAAATTACTATAATAAAAAATTCCAGTTGCCCTGCTCCAGTCTTGTCCTCTAATTCACTGACCTGCAGAGAAGGACAGGAAATAAAAGCGTACTTTAGAGGTTTCCGGACCTCTTCCGGCTCTGGTCCGTGCACGGCTGAAACACAAAAAGCTGCATCTTCCCGTCTTCCCCTCAGCCCCCCGTAGTCCCTTCTTCTGCAAGAGGCTGCCGGACCATAATGCATTTGCGATCACAGTAATTTCTCTGTAAAAAGCTGAAATCTTCCACTGTCACAAAAAGACATGAAAAGTTCAGGTGCATACAGATTGGAAAGTTACAGTCTAAAAACGTCCTATTGTGCTCTGAAATTACGCTGGATGGAAAAGTTAAAAGCTTTTGTTAAATGCCAAACAGAACTGTCTGCGATGAAAAGATGGGGGAAGAGAGGAAGTGGTAAAACAATGCGTCTCGATTTGCTTCCCAAGCTTAGAATAACCTTTTCTAAGTGCCCTTTTTCTATATAGGAGCTTCACACTATATTCTTAATGCAAATGCTCTTTTACAACAAAAAAAATTTATAATGATGATAATCACTGCAATTCAGGAGCTTGTTCTATGTTCAACTCCATTATTCACTTTTCCAAAGCGCTCTGGCCTTTCTCCTTTAAACTTTTAAAACATGGCCTTCCTGCATTTCTTCCCTCTGAGCCACTGAAAGGAACTTAAAAGTTTTCCAGCGTCTCCATTTTGCAGGAAAGGGTGCTTGGACCTGAGAGCGTGCAGTCAAGAGCAAAATGTGTTTCACCTGCGAAAGAGGTGTGAACAGGGGCAGCAAGAATGGACAGCATGCATTTTGGGTTGTGAAAAGCCCTCAAGGAGGAAAATAATATCTAAAAAAGCGACTGTGTCTTTTTGAAAAAAGTGCTCAGAAACACTCAGATGTAACTCTGTTCTTCACAGGCTGATGCTAAAAGCTAAGGCGAGCGTCCGGTGTGCTGAGCGGCTTATTAGAGGGACAATAACCGCAGAACAGCCGCAGGATAGTGCGTGGTTCTCACCCTGTGCAACACACACACACTTACACACACACCTGCACATGTGCATGCAGACCACCTGCGCTGCTAACACCTGTGCACGCCTGAATGCAAGCATGGAGGCTCGCTCGTCCACGTGTTGAGGCAAAGGTTTAATCAGCCGCAGATGAAAAGGAAAATGCCATTAGATTTTTAAAGTGGATAATTTCACATTCTTCTCTTCATTCATTTCTTCATTTTTCTTTTCAAGCTCGCCTTTTATGCCCGATACATGTGCTTTTACGGAAAATTACGACATTTAATCGAGACTCTTCGGTCAGAGATAATTGCGCTAAGAACCATTAGCGCCTGTCCAAGACCGATGAACTTTTTTCTTTTTTTTGTGTCTCCTTTCTTTTGCGGAGATGTTCCCTGCCTGTGAGAACATGCTCCACAGAAAGAGGATAATCGTAATTTAATTATCTGCCATTATGGGGAGCAAAACGCAGGTCGCCTCGGGGTCGCATATGCTGCATGCTGTTATAAACAAATCAGTTAAATAAATTACGCTAAACAAACCAGCCTGTCATATACACTCCAGGTACTGCAGCCGAAGGTCTGTTGTTTATTTCTGATTTTTTCCTTTTTTTCTCTCCCTTTTTCTTTTTCTGCCAATTTTACGCAAAGCAATTATAATCATATTGAACGTTTTCTGGGGCACTCGTGCTCCTCACCTGCTAACCTCCATGCCCCCCCAACCTGATCAGCAAATTGGCATCTCAGTGAGATCAGCAGGTGTAAATTTGCCCTACATTTTTTTTTCTCTCTCTTTTTTGGCCACAATGAGGTTTTTCCTGAAAATTGAATCTCATTTATGTTCAGTGCACTGTGATCCCCAGAGGCTCATAATTCATTAGTTGCTCTTGGTTTTACATTAAATATATGTAAAATATTGGGAATTTCAACACAAAATTCAGTTTGGATTAATTTACATGGAAAGTAAAACGTCAAATGAAGTTGGGAACATGGAGCGTTTTAATATCAGAACAGTCAGATGCTTAACGCTTGTTTTCCACCTGATAGATTTGGTTCGGTTGGGAACCAAAGTTTCAACATTTGTTATATTTTCAGCTGCTGCGGTTCTCTTTCTCACTGCACTGACTCAAAGAAACCAAACCCTTTGAGCAAACTGTTCCCGTCCTTTCCTGTAGGGGCGCTGTAATATAATCTACTGAAGGAAACAACATGACAATCTCTGAAGAAGACAGTGGGCGCAATCTCTTGCTTTGCAAAATTTACATAACAATGGAGTGACATTGGATTTTAGCGGTCCATGAGCCATTTATCCTGCTACAAATGTTCTGGTGAAATGTCCCAGGTACAGATTAGGTTCTTCCGATGTTGTGTTCCACTCCGGCTCTCCCACTGCGCTCTCCTTTCTTTCATATGGGAAATTATGCAGATTCACCTACATTTTTATTTTTATGATAGTGACACAGTGTGGCATTATCTAAAATTACACCAGTCAAAGGCAATATGATAAACAAACTATTCTAAAGTTAGCCTTCCTGTGTTTACTCTGCAGAGTCCAGAACAGAATGGACCATTATGCATCATCAACCTATCAGTGAAAAAATGGCGACGTCCAAGGGTGAAAAATATAGCAAAAGATATACATTTTTGAAGTAATTATAAGTTTTGGCATATCACAAATCGATTTTTAGGTTATAGGAAAATTGGAATATATTTAGGCCAACATGTTCAACTAATCCTGGATCCAAAAAAAATGGTTGCAAATATATATATTTTTATTTTTCTCTTTACCCTTTTTTCCACCCTGTAAAGTTTATATTATTATACTTTAATTCCGTACGCTAGGAGTGCTTGAAAATCAAGCTTTTGTTTGTGCCCACAATTTTAGCTAATAAACCTGACCGTTTGAATTCACTTTCGATGAGAAACTGTAATACCACTTTCTGTCTGTAGCATAGGTGGTGGCGCTGTGACCCGCAGTCTTCTTCTTCGTTTCCTGTCCGCTTCCTTAACAACAAACGGAGCAAAAGCTGTAGATTTTCTCGGACTGTTTGAGGAAATATGGTTTATAAGCGCTACATTTGCACTTAGTTTGGGATTTTATGATATAAATGACGCCGGATGTCTCAGTTTAAGTGGAGTGAGATGCCGAAGATCTTGAAATTGACTCATTAACGGTAAGCTTTTATCGAAGTTAAGCCTCATTCTCTGCTAAAATTCATGAACTTGGGGGAACAGACAGCAAGTCAGTTCACTCAGGCAGACATTAGATTGTAAATTAATTGGTATTTATGTCAAATTAGAGAAGTATTATGTTTATGCTGAGATTTTAGGGGTAATATTTAGCTTTAATGACAAATGAATTACAAAGAGGAGCTGCAGCCCTTCACATTTAGCCAGCTTTGTTTCTTTTAGCTCATGAAAGGGTTTACATCTCTTTTAGTCAGAAAGGCCTTTAATGAAGTAGCTTTTATTGCACCATTTGGTCTAAAACATGCATTTATATTCTGAGTTTCATTAATTTAACCAAAGACGTTCTGCTGTTGATGGAAGAGTCACATATTTGTTTCATTCACTATTTGCTTCACTCTGTGTCTCTCTGTGTTTTGACTGTTTTTATTTTATATTTCTTTTGTTTGTTTTGTTTGTTTGTTTGTTTTTAGGTATGTTTCAGATATTTGAAGATAACATAAAAAATCTTTGTCTTCTGACATTAAATCAGACGACGGTTTAGTTTTATTTTCTAATACCAAAATAAAGACAGAATTGTTTTATTGTTTCTTTTTTTAAACTTAATTTACATTTTCTCAGTACTTAGAAACTCTGTTGAAAGTGTGACTCGCCATAGTTTTCTGACATTTTAGCAACAAAATGCACCGATTAATATCTGCATCGGTCCCGATATTGAAAAAAATTCTTGATCAGGTAAGTGACAATGTTCCCCATCCATAAGGGCAGATCTATTCAGTCTAATTCTATACTTTGAGCTCTAAGCAACATCATGTTTTATTATTTAATTTACATTATATTTAGAATCCTTAATTGCACTTTCTGAACTATTTGAAAGAAGGTTTGTTGCAGTTTATGTTTCACCAGGTATTCAATCTATTGTTTTTTTGTTAAATTTTATTATTTACATTACATTAGCTGTTATTCTCCTAGTTGCCCTGACTGAATAAATTAAAGTTGTCTTACATCTTTGAACAAGCTCGTGATGCTATTGGTGTATTCAAGCATGCTGTAATAGTGCAGTTATCAAATAAATTTGTAATTCAGTGTTATGTCTGGGTTTTTTAAAAAAAGGAAACATCTTTAGAACTGTTTTTCTGTATCGGATCGGTATAGGCCAATGCTAAACCTTAGATATCGGTATCGGATTTGAAAAAGTGGATCGGTTCATACCTAATTTTGTCTCATTTCTTACAGAACTGGTGTAACTGGGTCAGGTTTGTTGGCCTCCTTCGTAGCAGCATCACCGGTTCTTATTGTTCCTCTTCTGTCCTTCCACAGCAGACGGGACAATGCTAACTCATTTTTCTTACCTGATCACCCGTCTAACGTAGCGACGTTTGAAACGGTTCTCTGATTGCCACCATGGAAGAGGACGTCCTGACCCTGAAGCCCAGGCGGATCCAGAACCAGAACGTCGTCTACCGCCTGGAGAAGCGAAGGGTCTGCTCCGGTCGACCCGGGGCCCACTGGTACCGGGTTCGCTGCTTTCACCAGAACCTGTTCCCAAACTTCACCGTGGTGAACGTGGAGAAGCCACCCTGCTTCCTCAGGAAGTTCTCACCGGATGGACGCTACTTCATCGCCTTCTCCTCGGACCAGACGTCGCTGGAGGTAAGAGGAGAATCCTGAATCGTTTCAACCATTTTAGCTTTATTTGTCGTTGTACTCCTGCATCAAAAATCTGTTGGTACTCAAAAAAGACAAAACAGCTATGATTAAAATCAAGTTAATAAAATAAAATGCCATAATTGTCGAGTATAAAGTTATAAATATAATAAATATGTATATTTACAGTTCTATTTTTCCCCATGTTGTAAGGAAATTAATCTTCCAGTGGAACTAGTGATTTTAAAAAAAAAAAACAATATTAAGGATTATTGACTTAAAACAAGCTCCCTTATCTTGCTGAACTGTTACTTCTAAGTTAGTTTTATGTTAATTCAAGTGTAATAAGATATTTGCACTAGAAACTAGACCAAAAATACTTGGTAAAATTTTATGTTTTTGTAGCGTATAAAAACAAAAACAAAGGATGTTATATCTATGACTTCAGTATGTTTTAGTTAGTTTTAGCTCTGAGCTGAATTTGGTTGCTATTCTCTTTCAGATTTATGAATACCAAGGCTGCCAGGCAGCTCAGGACCTGCTGAGAGGCCAGGAAGGAGAGACTCTGTCCACTGCCAATGACCAGTGCTCCCTCAACATCCGCAGCCGCCTCTTCCAGCGCTTCTTCTCGCTGCTCCACGTCACCAACGTGGCTTCGAACGGAGAGCACCTGAACCGTGAGTGCAGCCTCTTCACCGACGACTGCAGATACGTCATCGTCGGCTCTGCCGTCTACGTCCCCGACGATCCGCCGCCGTACTTCTTCGAGGTAATGAGCTCCAGTTTGAGCGAAAAGCAGCCTCCAAGTCCGGAGGTTTTATTTATAGCCGACGTTCCAACAGGTGTATCGCAACAACGAGTCAGTGACTCCCAACCCGCGGTCTCCACTGGAGGATTACTCCCTGCACATCATTGACCTGCACACCGGCAGGCTGTGCGACACCAGGTCCTTCAAGTGTGATAAGATCATCCTGTCTCACAACCAGGGCCTCTACCTCTACAGGAACATCCTGGCCGTGCTGTCGGTCCAACAGCAGACCATCCACGTCTTTCAGGTGAGCAGGTCGTCCCCTAAGGGGTTAAATCCTTCACTAGGGGATCAGCAACAGTTTTCAGATGGTTTAGGCAGCAGGGCAACTAAACTGGGCTAATTATTCTGGCTTGCTTAGGTGGTAAATGTGTCGTTTACAATAAGCAATGTGAACCGAAACAAACAAAAAATGAATCTGAAAAGTGCATGTAAAGTCCTAGATGATCTGCAAAGTAATTCAGATATTTTAGAAAGTGGTGCAGCTCATCTGAACTAATTTTTCAGATTTATTTAGCTGAGAAATGGGTCGTTTAAAAAAGCGTTGTGAACTGAAGCTAAAAAAATCTGAAAAGTGCGGCATGCATTTAAATTCCTTAATGATTTGCAAAGTTTTTCAGATTGTTCAGGCATCAGTGCAGCTTATCTGGACTTATCTTTCTGGTTTGTTATCTGAGAAATTTAAAACAAACATTGAAATGCGAAGCAAAAGAAATCTGAAAAGTGCAACATACATTTAACTTTACCCCATTTATTAACATTACCCTGAATATAAACCAGTTCAACTTTGTTTTCTAATGTCAACTCAGTAGTAAACGTCTTTGGGTTTAATGTTCTCTGAGTATTAATCCAGATATTCACTGAAGGCCTGAGGTTCTTTAGAGAACAACCAGAATTATGGAGACCAAGGAAAATATTTACTTATGTACTCCAGACTCCCCCTAGTGGTCTGGGGTAAGAAGATATAAAGTATGATGCATCTTTTCTTTAATTCCTCCAAGTTTCTTCTGGACATCCTGTCTTTACTGAGTGTCTAGTCCTATGTGATTTGATGGTCGACTCAACTAACTGAAATGGTGTTGCATTACGAGTGATGGATGGTCCAGTTTTATTAAAAATATGTATTTTTCTTTACACAAAACATTTAATGTTTTTGTAGATATTTAAACACATGATCACCTGCTGCCTTTTGTCTCTTCTTCTGTCCTCAGGTGACGCCTGACGGGACATTTCTGGACGTGAGGACGATCGGGCGCTTCTGTTACGAGGACGACCTGCTGACGCTGTCAGCGGTTTACGCAGAAGCTCAAGCGGAGAGCCAGACCGGCTTCCCACGGCTCTACACAGACAAAACCATCAACTCCCTGAAGCACAGGCTGCTGGTGTACCTGTGGCGGCGAGCCGAGCAGGACGGCAGCGCCACCGCCAAGAGGAGGTGACAACGCCGATTCACAAAGCTCCCATTCTTAGTTGATTTTTTTTAGTTGAATGTGTCTGAGGCTTGTTAGGTTCTGATCCGAGTCGTTCCGTCAGGTTTTTCCAGTTCTTCGATCAGCTCAGGCGGCTCCGGATGTGGAAGATGCAGCTGCTGGACGAGCATCACCTCTTCATCAAGTACACCAGCGAAGACGTGGTGACGCTCAGAGTCACCGACCCGTCGCAGGTATGCATTCCTCCCCCGCCGCTCTTTGTCCCGATGCCCCGGTTTCATCGGATGAGAATTTCCCCCTGCCGGGTTTCCAAGGAAACAATTGTCCAATGGATTCTGCTCAGTCCTAAGCTTTACTTGTCGCAGGAACAGAAGGATTTAATTAATCCACAGTTCATTTAAATGGAGTCTGAGCAGAAAAAACAAATGGAGAAATTTAATCAAACCTTCTCACTTTGTTTTCAACAGTTTTTTTCTTTGATTGATTGATTGATTGGATGGATGGATGGATGGATGGATGGATGGATGGATGGATGGATGGATGGATGGATGGAACAGAAAGTTTTTCTTCTTATGTTTTTCTCTGAGCCTTTTGCGCTGTGTTAACCTTTGACCCCTGGTCTCCCTGCCAGCCATCGTTCTTCGTGGTGTACAACATGGTGTCCACGGAAGTTCTGGCCGTGTTCGAGAACACGTCGGACCAGCTGCTGGAGCTGTTTGAGAACTTCTGTGACCTGTTCAGGAACGCCACGCTGCACAGCCAGGCTGTCCAGTTTCCCTGCTCCGCCTCCTCCAACAACTACGCCCGCCAGGTCCAGAGAAGGTACCGCTCCGCCGCCGCTCTGGCGCCGTGGTCCGAATGGACAGGATGTTTCACCGAGAGACGTTAGGACGAGGTAGAGACGCCCGGGGGGAGTTGAGCAGAAACAGGAAGGAGATCCAGGCCGTTAACCTGTTCAGCTAACCGGAGATCTGATTGAATTTCACCCATTCTGGTGACAAAACCCTTTATGGGAGGAAAAGCTTCGCTTGAGCTTAAAGGGACTTAAAGGGATTAAAAAGTCACATTTTACACATCAAATTTACATAATACTGCCTCTTTAAGAAAAAAAAACACCCAGTCTTTTTTTTTTTTTTTTTTTGCAATAAGTTGATATCTTTTTAGTGTATGCAAAACGAGTCGTTTCAAAAACTTACAGAATGTAACGTCACAAATCAGCAGGAACTGCCCCGTTACCTAGCAACCGCAGCAAAGCCCAGCCCGTCGCCTAGCAACCCAAATGGAGCTCCAGTACATTTGGTTAGTTGGTTTGGTCACCATACAATGGCTGCTGGAAAAGACAAGAATTTTGTTGACTTACCATCCAGATACCACTTGCTGCATTCTTGTTGGTTGTGCAGGAGGCTCCACTTCTGCTTTTCAAACATGTATAGTTGTATAGTTCTGCATCCGTTTGCAGTGATTGTGTGTGAGTGTAAACTTTGGGTTGGGGGGACATGGCCAGCAGCAGCTTATTTAGATTTAAAGAGACAAAGTCCCTAAAACAGCTGAAAATAGGCAGAACTGATCAGACTAAAAAAAAAAAAAAGATTTTTAATGAGCGTGTTTTGTATAGATCATAGACCTGTCCTAATCTGTTCGAGGAAGCATAATGGGTCACCTTTAGAGTGAAAAACAAAGCAGAAGAAAGCGGAACTGAAGTATTTTTCCCTGTTCTTCCTCCCCAGATTCAAAGACACCATAGTGAACGCCAAATATGGTGGCCACACGGAGGCGGTGCGGCGGCTGCTCGGTCAGCTGCCCATCAGCGCCCAGTCATACAGCAGCAGCCCTTACCTCGACCTGTCGCTCTTCAGCTACGACGACAAGTGGGTGTCGGTGATGGAGAGGCCCAAGACCTGCGGAGACCACCCCATCAGGTAGCCACTCCAATCAGGGCGCGCACACCTCCGGATGGCGCAGCCCTGCAGTCAGGCTAATGGGGTTTACATAGAGATGACTTCAACTGAAACAGCTTCTAGGGTTTTATATGGCATTTAAAATCATCATAGAGGTTTGCTTTTACCTTTTGCTTCTTATCGTTTGCTCAGATGAAAGTGCAGAGATGCAGCTTTGCTCCTTTCAGATTAACAGTCAATCCTTCTGCTGCTTGTTTCCACCACGTCTTTCATTCATCAACCGACTCTAATGTTTAATATATAAGTAAAAAACATAAATAAATAAATAAAAAATAATAGACTGAAATGCATTTTTAATAAAACTAAATCTACAAAAATTATAATAGAACAAGCAAATGAAACAATAGATTAAAAACATTTAATAAAGAAATAGATTTAAATAGAAACATAGAAAACAAAAATGTATCAGATTAAAAAGTTAAAAAAAATATTGAAATGCTGTTTATATTTAAAATACTGTTTTCTGTAAAAAAAATTTAAAAACTCAAATTCTGTGTGTGTGTGTATATATATATATATATATATATATATATATATATATATGTATATATATATATGAAAAAAATAAAATCTATTAAATAAAAAATAACAAATATGATCATATATAAATACAGTTTTTTTTCCATTTAAGGAAAATTAATGAAAATAAATTAATATAAATAAATAAAAAGACATGGCTGGATGCAGCAGTTTAACAGAGCCACTCTGCCTCTGCAGGTTTTACGCCCGTGATGCCGGGCTGCTGAAGTTTAAGATCCAGGCGGGCCTTCTGGGTCGACCCGTTAACCACGCCGTGCGGCGCCTGGTCGCCTTCACCTTCCATCCCTTCGAACCGTTCGCCATCTCCGTTCAGCGGACCAACGCGGAGTACGTGGTCAACTTCCACATGAGACACGTCTCCGCGTGACGGAGGAGAGTCGTCCTCCGCTCCTCACTCAGGGATCCTGGACATTTTTGTTTGCAAACGTCCAGACTCGAGTTTTCACTGGATTTTAAAGTCTAGACATAAAAACTCAGAGGAGATGTTCTCACAGCTGGATTTCAATATGAAACCAAAAAAGAAAAACAGGCAGATGGACGGATGATGTTGGATAAAGAACTTTAGATTTTTTTTTTTCCAGACTTTAAAATACTTCCATACTTTTCCAGATTCCTTAGGATCCCTCTTTCCTTCTCTGCTTCCCCTGTTTCTTTCTCGTTTCCTGGTTTTTTTTAATTTTTTTTATTGTTTTACTTTTTAATGTTTAACTCTACATATCATACAGCCAATAAAATTAATTTGATTTTTAAGTTTTTATCACTAAGGAGGTCTGACTTTTTCTTCTCTAAAGAATCATAAATGTTCACCTGTATTGGAGAATTGGAAAATAAATCTGTTTAGTTTTAGTTTTTTTCCCATCATGCATCTAGCTTACATTGAAACACACACACACACACACACACACACATTTTACACTGTCAAAAATTAACAGCAATAATTTTTGTTATTTTGTCTGTATAAAGAGAAAAGGAGTTTTTTAAAGATCACAGTTTCAAAGCTGAATATTTTGTTTGCTAAAATTAAGTATTTTAAACCAAATATTTGGATCTACACTAAATATTTAGTTTGAAGCCAATGTTTAGCATGCTAACTAAATATTTGGAGTTTAACGTGATATTTTCTAGCAAATTAAATGTTTAGTTTGTAAACTAAATATTTCGTTTGCTAGTTAAATACTTAGCTTCAAACCTAAATGTTTAGTTTGCTAACTATTTAGCAACAAAATATTTAGTGTGCTAATGAAAATGTAAGCTTCAAACTAAATGTTTAGCTTGATAAGTATTTAGTTTGTCTGCTGTTTATAAACAGATTTATAACATGATGAAAATGACATTTTTTCACTCTTGATAGACTAAATAACAAATTATTGCTGTTAATTTTCAATCAAGTTTATTTGTGTAGCACATTTCAACCAGTAACAGACATTACATCTTGTCAAGTACCACAGAGAAACAAAACATCTAACAATAAAGCCTTTCGTACAAACTTTATTGCTGAACCTTATGGGAAAATATTAATTAAAATCTTCCAATAAGATTAAGATAATTTAATCAATCAAGTTTATTTGTGCAATCAATCAATCAAATTTTATCTGTATAGCACATTTCAGCAGCAAGGCATTTCAAGGTGCTTTACATAATTAAAAAACAAAATAAAAACAGCATGTGACATTGAATAAAGAGTAAGAAAGAGAAAAGAATAGAAAAAGTTAAAAACATACTTTTGTTAGGGAATTTAAGCGCCTGTCGTCGCCGGACTCCGCCGTCCGTTTAACACAGGTATTATCCAGGTATTATCCAGGTATTATCCAGGCCCCGTCGCCTAACGGGACAAGGTCTCCAAACTTGCAGCGCCAGGCTCTGTCCACCTATCACGCAAATTTTTGCGCTAGGACTTCGTCGTCCTACACGGATTTTTGTGCACTATTTGTGCAGCATATTTCAACAACGAAGCAGTTGGAAGTGATTTACTCTGTGAAAACATAAAAACCCCATAAACACATCAAATTGTCAATTGTGAAACAGAACAAAACAGAACAACATAACAGAAAATCATTGTTACACATCAAAATGTTGGTCAATGTTTCATTTATTATGTTTCAAAAGCAACTCTGACCAGGTAGGCTTTAGTCCAGATGTAAATTAACTCAGGTTAACTGCTGTTTTTCAGTTTTCTGGAAGTTTGCTCCAGATTTTTGGTGCACAGAAGCTGAATGCTGCTTCTCCATGTTTCTGATTCTGCTTCCCCAGAACCAGAAGACCTGAGAGGTTCTGGAAGGTTGATCCAACAACAGCTGATCTTTAATGTATTTTGTTGATTTATAAACTAACAGAAATATTTTTGAATGTGTATCTTTAAAAACCGCGCTCATACACACACAGAGAGCTAAAAACCGATTTCAGGTGTCGCTGGCTGCGACCCTGACGCTGATCCCTGCCGTCTGTTCTGCAGCGTATGGGATCTTAACACTTCTGTTCTTTACTACATCCATCTGTTCTCCACCTGCTTAGCTCAAATGTATCATTAATCACACGTCGGCATGGATAGAAATCTGCAAATATGCAAATGGTCACAGCAGCAGCAGAGACCCCGGAGCTGCGCAGACATGTATAATAAACACACGAGGAGCCGAGAGGTGCAGCCGTCCGGCCAGCTGCAGAGGTGGAAAGCAGGTGCGGAGGGGATTAAGTGTTCTGCTGCCTCTGGTTACACAGAACAGCCGATTCACGTTTGTGTGTCCGACTGACTGAAGCAAAGCGTTTACTGCAGAGTAAATGCAGATGAAGGACTAAAAGAGGCCATGTTATGTCATTACAGTGTGTTTGTGTGACAACAAGCTGTGATAATCAACTAATTAAGGGAAACTGGCATGGCGGGAGGACACACAGCAAACAGGTCACATATAAGAGATGCAGGAGCGCCAGAAACTGGAATCTTCTCAGTGAAAATCATTTGTTTTCAGATTCAAAAATACTTTATTGATCCCAAAGGGAAGGTAAATGTTGTTGTAACTCATTTAGGGCTGTTGTAAACGAATATTTTAGTAATCGAGGTACTCGAATCATTCGAGGAATCGTTTCAGCCCTAAACTCATTAACTCAAATTCTTCAGAGTTATTGCAGATGCTGATGGCTATCGGCAGGAAAGATCTCTCATAGCCTGCGACAGACTGGCTACCTGTCCAGGGGGACCCC